ATATATATATATGTATGTGTGTGTAGTATGTTTATACAGCGGCTATTGTAGCCCAAACAGTACCTACGGCTACATGCACAGGCCAGGCCAGGCCAGGCCAGACCGCACCATACCATGGCCTACCGTACGCTACAATGCCACCATCTTACAGCACACCAGACCTCACCATACCGGGGCTGACACTGTATGCATGCAGGTGCATGCATGTATGGGTGGATATACATGCATACATCGACATGCCTCCATGACACCTCAAACACCCAGTATTCGGGACCATATGGGCTCTGTGAAAGAGAGCCAAGCGATCAAAGATTCAACACCTTGTTCATGTATCTTCGCTGAACCCTAGCCTGGAGAGTTTTCCTTGCCACTATCAACTTACTTCAACCGTTCCAAACCCGCCTGTTTAGGATAGAGATCATATCATATTATATATACATACATTCATACATACATACATGCATACATGCATACATATGTATATATATATGTACAGATACGTACATCCATGGGAGCCAAACATCCATCTGTATCAGAACAACGAGCGCGAAACATGCAGCTTTTCCAAGAGCCTGGTAAGACCTGGGCCTGACAATGGCTTTAAGCCACAAAGCCGGAACTAAACCCTACACCCAACATCCTGAAAGCAGGTTCGGCAGCGCCTTGCAGAAAAGGGCCTTTCACTAAACAAAATCACAAAAAAGAGGTGGGGCCCTGAATCCCCAAGCCCGACATAGCCAAAACCCGCCACCGGCGAACTCCCATCGTCTTAAAAGGGCAAGGGGCTGTTAATGACTGGCGGCTGGCTGTTCTCGTGAATTTTCAGATCCTGTATTGCAGTGGAATTATGTCTTCCCCAAAAGGGTCCTAACGTTGCCTTAGTGATAAAATCGGTTACCCCAAAACAAGGAACTACAATGGAGGCTATAGGTAGGAGGAAGTTGGATGTACCCTGTAACAGTACCCAGGACCCTTTCTTGGTTCTGGCCTGGTACACTCCCGTGCAAGTTTTCGCTGATCTAGGAGATTGTTTGGAAGCTGGGCAATGAGTGGAAGGCGTGCCGGGACGGTTAACTTGCATCGCATCCTCTGGCTTTAGCCAAACCTTTTGCTCAGACCCTGAACATTACCCATAAGCCCCTAAGTAGTTCCTTTTTATGGTTTATATTTAGAGTCCTATCAGGTAATCCCAAAAAGGAACTACTTAGGGGCCTATGGGTAAACCCGTCAACCCCAGGCCGGCCACCAGAACCTCAGACCTAGCTGCCTGCTAGTTGTCCGTGACCGTGTCGGGTTTGTGTTGAATCCTCGGACTGGGTGTGTGGGTTTAGGGTTTAGGGTTTATAGGGGTTTAGGGGTTTAGGGTTTAGGGGTCGTGCCATGAGGATCTCTGGGTTTTTGTTCGCACGTGGTTGTTCCGGTTTAGGTTGCTGCGCGAGATGTGCTGCGTGCCCCGTGACTGGCATGTGGGTGAACTACTGAAGTCTGGGCAGCGCGGCTCAGGCATCAAGATGTTGTCGTCTGCCGAATGAAGTTTAACACCCTATCGACACCATAGAGATCCTAAAACACTAAGTCCCCAAACACCTATAAACCCCTAAACCTCTAGACCCCTGAACCCCCTAACCCCTAGACCCCTAAGCCCCTAAACCCCAGACCCCAAAGCCCCTAAACCCCAGACCCCTAAGCCCCTAAACCAGTAAACCCTACGTAAGCCCTGAGCCCGGAAAGCCCTCAACCCTGGAGCCTTGCCGGCCTTGTGCGAGTGTGAGAGTCGCACCCAGAGAGCCCAATACCCCTTAATTAAGGAAGATATATATATATATATACACCTTAAATCATAATATTAAGGCCCCTATCATTTAAGGTATATATTCTTTTTTTAAGGGGTATTGGGCTCTCTGGGAAAGCCCCATCCCTGGGTCCTGGTGAAGGTGGCACCCTTCGGCTCGGCCGAGAACGGTTTCGGCTCGAAGCTTCGCCTTTTTTCGTGGGGGTTTCGAAGCGTTTTTCGGCCCTAGGGCTTCGGGTCTATAGGGGCTTACTGGGTTTGGTGGCTGTTTACAGGGTGTTTCGGGCTAAGGGCCCCTCCAGGGCTACTACCCGGGGTTGCAAAGCGTCAGGGTTCCGTGTAACTTTTCTCTGCGGGTTCTCTTAGTCTCAAGGTTTCCCGTTATAGAGGTCCCATATTGCATGGCACTATAAGTGCGCTACAGCCTTCAGGGTTCTCTTCAGGTTTCTGAACAGATGTGTTGTATGGATTCTATATATATATATTTATTTATTTATTTATGTATGTATTTATGTATTTATACAAACACACAGATAGATAGATATAGATATGGATATAGGTAGAGCTATGGGTATAGATATAGATATAGATACCGGCGTTAAAGTGTTTAGGGTTTCAGGATGTCGAAAATTTATAGGGCCTAGAAAAAGCGTTCGAGGTGATAAGATTGAAGTTTTCAATGTTCCAAATCTATAGGGCTGTTGGCAACCTAAGGGCATGGGCTCTTGGTCTAAGGGTTCGGGGCTTAAGCTTTGCAGCGTTTCCGGGTTTTCGGTTTCGGGTGGATTTGCGGATCCTTAGAGTAGACCCCCAAAGCCGGATGAAGGACAACCAGTGACAACCAGTGCTGGGCTTCCCTAAACCCTATATAACCCTAAACCCCAAACATCCCCAAACCCTAGTACTATATGCATTACTCTTACGGATTGAGGCTATGGAGGTTTCCAACTTCTGGGCTTGAATACCGTAGGCTTGAGGTTAAACCCTAAACCCGCAGCGCAGAGCCCCAAAAAGGCCGAGCACACTTGAGTCTTCGGGGATCCCCAAGAGGCTTTCCGGGTTTTAGGCTCTGGCGATGTTGCGGTTTAGTATAGAAGCCTGAGTAGTTACCTCTAGTACGAATCCTCAGAGTTCCTTCTTATGGTTTCACCTATACTATAGTATATTACTCAGAGTTGCTTCTTATGGCTTTGGCAGTATAATGGGCCCGAAAGCCCTATTCTAAGTTTACTAAGTCCCCACTTTCCGGGGGTTCATGTCCAATGTCTCCTGATGCTAAAGGCCAGGCGTAGCAGTTTTGGTATAGACGATAGGGATGAGACTTGTTAAAGTAAGCTCTGATTCATGTCTCTGTGCAACCCCATCGCACGGTGCGTCGTGAAGTGCTCAGAACATGTTTCCCTAACCTCCCAGGTACCTACTATATAGGGCCCTAGGGGCTCTAGTACCCTATATAGTAGGTACCTGGGAGGTTAGGGTTTGATCATGCCAGGCCTCTTCAGAGGAGATCTTAATGCTACCTACCTCAAGCAGCTGAGCATTGCGGGGCAGCTGCCTGTAGGGGTGCGCATTAGTTTGGCCTGTTGATCGAGGGCGCCGTACAAGGCTGGCCACATAGACGGGGCTATACCGCAAGCCCACACAAGTTCCAGATGGTTGAATCGCGTGTCTACAGAGTCGCTTGCATACTGCATCAGGTTCAGCATGTGCCTTTGCGTAGTCCCAAATGCCGCAAACGAAACCCTGAACCCTAAACCCTAAGCCCTAAACCGAAGCTTTTGCGACACGGCCAGGAAAGGATCTGATCTGGACGTAACCTGCACCTTGATCTGCAATTGCGGTGGAAATGCCCAGGGCCCTGCATACCTTTATGGCGCATATGCTTACACAAACCATAAACGTATTTCCTTCAATACCAAGCCCAATCTGTACTTCGTAGGTATCTGAGGTGCCTTCGGATGGTAGATGGCAAGTAGACGTAGCCAGGTCTCTTATGCCTGGTCGCCCTTTCAGAGAGTGAGGTTGGGTTTGGGTTGGCCTGAGCATCTATCTAGGCGTTTAGGGTTTAGGGGAATCTAGGCATGTATCTAGAACGTTTCCGCATTCAGGGTGTATCATATGTTACACATGCAGCTTTGATTTCCAAACCTGCGTATCCTGAAAGACACAAGCCGAAACGGTGCACAAGGGCACCCCGCTTCGATCAACACATGGACCGTTTTGGGAGTTTTCGTGCCTGTGAGTTGTGGAGGCTACCATACCGCGGTCAGCGCGCAGGACAGCCTCCGGGCGGTTCAGGAATTGAAGCTGATACCCGGCTCCAAGGAGTTTCTGGGATTCTGGAATCTTATAGCAGGCGTGGCACCTGAAGGGTTTGCCGATCTCACCATTCCTCGGTTTTATTGAAAATCAGACGCATGGGTTGTAATTACCTTTTTTTTGGGAGAAGCTAGGATCGAGTTGCTTGATGTCGGAGTGAACGACTGCCTTCTTTCAGCAGCTTCTTTTGGGGGCAACTCTATACAAAGATCGCATCCTTCCGCCCTTTTGTCCCCCTGGTGACTTTTGGGGGCCCCGGGCCATGTCCGTCACCTTCACAGAGACTTTGCCCGGGCAGAGGGGAGCTTTGGACACCCGGTCTCCCCTGCCCGAGAGAATCGGCCGCCGCTCCCGGAGCTTCGGCCTCGACGTCTTCGATTCGAGCTCCGGAGGTCTGTCTCTTTCTGGGGCTTCAGGGCTGTCACCTGGCCGCCACTTGCTGGAGGAAAGGATGGCTCCGCTGCCATCGCTCTGTTTGGTGATGTACTCCGGATTCTTGGCGACTTTGGCCTTGGACATTGTGGTCACGACGGCCGACGAGTATTCCAAGAAACTCGGGGCAGGGGCCATGTTCAGCGGACTTGTCATGGCTTTGACACCTCTTCTTCAGGGCTTGGTCGGAGTCCCTCTCAATCGCTGGATGTTGAAATCAACTTCTATGAAGACCGTGAGTATTCTCATGGCTGCTGGCATGGTTGTAGGAAACATCATCTATGCTCTTGCGGGGCTCATGCACTCCAAGCAGGCTGTCCTTTTCGCACGTGCCCTCATTGGCATCTGTCAGTTTCAGTTGGGTCCGCCCATCTACATTGCCGACGCTGTGGGTGTCAAGTGGCGCACGCCGGTGATGTTCGTGTACTCCGCTGTGGCTACCTTGGGGCTGGCGGCGGCTCCAGCTATTTGCGGTTTGCTAGACACCTTCCTGCATGAGCTGCGCATTCATAACTTGGTGCTGGACTCAGATACGGCCCCAGGCTGGTTCATGGCGATTGTCTACTTCTCATACTTACTGAAGGTGGTCTTCTTTTTCGAGAACCCAGAGGAATCGCCCTCACAGGAAGCCAGCCGGGCCTCTGCAGAATCCCCGGTCGAGAAGCGAGAATCATTATGGACGACTGGCTTCCTTCTATGCCTCTTGGCAGGCTTTGCGAGCACTATGACAAACATCGGCTGCACCTGTAACCGAAAAGACCTACCTTTTTAAGGAGCTATATATAAAAACCCATAATAATTAAGGAAAGCCTAAAGAGGTAGGCCTTTTCGGTTACAGGCATGGTCTACTTCACGCAACTTTCTCAGCACACTTGGCACTGGACCTTGGCCCTGAGCTCGTGGGGCCTTGCAGGGCTGATGGCAGTCGTGTGCGTCTTGTCGCTGGGAAGCAGCCGGCTTGTGAAACTCGTGGAAGATAGGAAGGGCCTCCAGCTGAGCTCATTAGCAACTGCCATTGTATCCATACTTGCCTTCCAGTTCATGCCGAGCTGGTCCGCGGCAACTATTGCTCTGACTTTTGCTGGTTTGTTGCTCATCCTGACTGCGAGCAGTGTCGTCAAGAACTATGCCTATGCGCTGACACCGAAGATAGTGGCGCCAGACTTGAAGGATCTAGCCGCGTCGTGGCTCATGCTGGCGCTGACCCTGGGTCGAGGTGTCGGCGCGCAAGTTGGAGTGTTGTTCACCCCGGTCTCCTTTGCAGTTACCATGCTGAGCACCTACGTTTTGCTGTTTGCTCTTGTTTCTATTTTCCGATCTCGAATGAAGCAGCATGCCAAGGCGGTCTAGGGCTTCTGCCACGGGTCTTGGCTGTCTTGGAATGTACTTCTTCTGCCATGGTGACTACAGCGGCTGTTAATTCCATGCTTCCATAGCTTCAAAGTGCAGTCAGACTCAGCCAACCATGTCAGAAGAATCCACCCGAAAGTTGTGGAGATGTCCAAACTCGGTGCCTGGGTCCTTGTTGCATTGGTTCTTTTGGGGGATCCATAAAGGACCCGAGCTTTGGAGAACCCCCTATTTGGAAATGAAATCTCGGACTTGCGGTGACCGGAGTGGCACGTCAGCTCTCGGTGGGAAGCAGCATTACCCAGAGGCTTCCTAAGTAGATTTAGAATCCTGTAATCCCAAAAAGGAACTACTGTGGTTTATATTTAGAATCCTGTAAGGTAATCCCAAAAAGGAACTACTTGGGAGCCTATGGGTAGAGCTGCATGGGACATGCACAGAAGAGGTCCTCCTGTCCTGCCTGTGAGCTGACACTGTACAGTGCTTATGGTAGCATCACCGCCAGAAGAGACTGCAGCCGCAGATGACCAAAGCCCCGGAGCTCCCTTGCATGTGAGCTGCAGAACGCACCTGTCTCTGAATGAAGCCCTTTCGAGAACAACTAGGATGAAGCTGCCACCATTTTCGGCATGACAGCTCATGAAACTCTTAAAACAAGCCATGATGGAAGGAGAGGAGGTTCCAAACCCTCAACGGAGAAAAGATCCTCGCGGCTAAACATCCAAAACAAAGATTGCGGCACTCGAAAGCAGGTGAAGAAACTTAACCCCTCACTAATACAAAGGCCTGAATACCTCAACCCCAAGGCAATAAAATACTCCTAAACCCAACGCCCGATATCATATCATATCATATCATATCATATCATATCATATCATATCATATCATATCATATATATGAGTATGAATATTACTCAATATGAATATTAGTAAATATTTATATCAATATTAACCCTAATATTAGTACTAATACTACTATCTATATATATATATATGCAAGCATTGGTACACATATAGATATGAATATGCATTTACAAATGAACATATACACATACAGATACATATTCACACACACACATGCACATACATGCTACCCCCCCTTTTATGAAGGCTTACGGGTTTGAGTTAGGGGTTGGGGCTAGGATGTCAAGGACATTTTATGGAACAGTAACCCCCTTTTTGCCCGCAAAGGCACCAAGGTTACATCATACCATAGAAGTCTTCATACTTGGCTGTCGACAGTTCTCGTAAAGTCTCTATATGTTTATAGCCGCTTTGCACTAAAAATCCGAGAAAAAACGATAGAAACACAGAAAGTAGCCCTGCTGTAATTCTGGCACAAGTTCTCTTCAGCATCCCCGTAACCTTAACCGGGGAGCTTACCAAGGTTCTCAGCATCCCACTATAGGGGTCTAAATCTTTGGAAAACATATTCCCGATAGCTCCTAAAACCATACACCACGAATCATCTGTTAAGTTGAAAGTACCGATCGACAACCTCACAAATCTCTGCAAAGGAACCATGTTCGGATTGCCAGGGCCCTGAATTCATTTCTTTGTGTGTATATTAGTTCATTTAGATGCTGACTCGGGCGAACTTGAACTGATAGCATAAGGATCTGAGCAGTAGCAAATAAAACTAATGATGGTAGTAACAAGACCTGGGTATAAGATAGCACAAACATATTGGGACACAATCTCTATTTATTTGTCCGACCCCTACATAGGTGCCCAGCGATGTGCCGTACGATGGTAATCCTCCCCCGAAAAGCTTGGCCGCTTTTTCTACAGACCCGATAGAGTGTCATAATTCCCTTATGGTAATAGACTTATGATCGCTTTGGTAGCACTTTAGACGACGCCAACATGTAGCCATTCATCTGAATCTTGAATGAAAGCTTCAGCACTCACCTAGATAGACTACAAGATTAGCCGTAAATCCAACATTGAGCATTGCTGCCCTGAAAAGCTTAAACTGAATGCTTGCAACTCATACCGAGAACTCTAGCTAAACAGTCTAAGGCCTCAGTCAATAAAAAAGCGTTGCTTCCCTAAGTCCACCACCTAAACCGGAGCTTAGGGAAGCGAGCTTCTTGCACCGTAACAAAGACCCCTACCAGTTGCTACTAAATTCCCTAGTATGGATCCGTGGCTTGAGAGTTCGCGGACATAGCAAAAAAAGGGTTCAGGATCTGCGGCAGCGATTTTTTACCGGCCGCGCAGGCCTGCGCAACAACATTTTTTGTGAGTATACAGTCTGAATTTTTCCGATATAGAGAACTACGAATAAGAATGATTAATTCCGACTAATTCTAATACGAATCACTAGGCCGGTCATGAGTGACACGGGCCATGAACCAAGGATCACGAGTGTAATGAGAGACTATATTACTAGATGGCACTGGTCCTTAAACGTTCGTGTCTGGATACCTGCCCCAACGTAGGCGTTACCGTCCCCCTGGCTGTGCAAGGCGGGCTAACGTACAGAGTTTCAGGCGCCAAGAACCAAGTTTCGGAAAAGTTCTGGCAAATCTTGGTTCCCACGCTTGGGTCCGTGTTCATTTATTAATACCACGGACCGAGTTAATCAACACTGGACCAGGAACCAAGAACCAAGATTCCCGGAAGAGTTTTCTGGTGAACCTTGGTACCCAGGCTTGGGCCTGTGTTAATTTAACACGGGCCGTGTTAACTAACAGGGACCCTACGAAGCAAGAGCCAAGATTCCTTCAGGACGAGGTCCAGCAACCAAGATTCGCCCCCAAAACCATTCCGGGAATCTTGGTTCTTGGTTCCTGGGGTCCGTGTTCATTAACACGGGCCCAAGCCTGGGAACCAAGATTCGCCAGACAACTTTCAGAAATCTTAGTTCTTGGTTCCTGGGGATCGTGTTAGTCAACATGGCCCGTGTGAATTAACACGGCCCCCAACTGGGTGACTTCCGAGGCTTTGGTAAGAGAGGTGGGTTTTGCAGGATATTTGGGGCATGCCACTCTCCAAGACTATTGAACTCCTTGATGTGATACTGCGGCTAGGAACATTTGGACAAGGGTGGGTTTATATGGAAAAGTGTATGTATGTATGTATGTATGTATGTATGTATGTATGTATGTAGTATTTCTATATACACATACGTACAAACATACATACATGCCCCCGGCCATGGAGAAATGCTCACTGTGAGGCCTTTTACACCCCAACCATCAGCCCTAGGCAAGCCAGGCAGCAACAAATAGCACGCATTCTATGGAAACCCAAACCTAAACCCCTAAACCCTAAACCCCTAAACCCCCAAACCCTAACCCCAAAACCATCCTGAACCCGAAGGCGCCCTACTCTAAGGAGCTTGGCCCCGCTGATTCAGAACGAGCCACGCTTTCGGATCATCGAGGTGCCTTTGGCTTTCTCAGCAGTCAGGAGGTTCCGAGATGAAGCGGCTTGTCATAGGGGCTTTTATCATGTTTTACCCAGTGAAGTCTAGGTTTGGCTTCGTCTGGATTTTTTGTTTAAGGGGTCGTTTCAAGGCTTCAAGCGATTGAAAAGGGTATTTAGGCTTTAGGTCAGGGCTCTAGACTCTAGAGCTTGAGATTGAATGCTCAGGATTTTGAGGGGTTCGGCGTTCAGGGTCTATGGCTTTAGAGTTTGCTTCGGGTTCAGCATTTAGTGTTCGCAGGGTTTAGGGTGATTCTTAGCTAGAGTCTGATCTAGAAAGTCGAACTCCTGTTCCCAGCATTATCTTTCAGATGTTGGGCAAGAACGGCAAAGGCGTAGTTTGGAGGGTCCTGTAACACCTGTCAACTCGAATCAGAAAGCACATGTAGAAATCTCTAACGTGTCTTGGTTCCCTGAACCAGCAAGTGCCGTATACTTTATCATTTGGCATGTTCGGCGATTCTGAATCATTCTTGGGGTGTTCATTCCTACAGGCTTAATTTAAGACTCTTCCTTCAGGGTCCTTTCCGTAATGGGTCATGAGATGTACATGCCATGAGCATATGGGCTGTCGGCTGAACCGTTGTTTTGGGTTTAGGGCTTTTGCTGATAACCCGGAAACACCGCAGGACGCCTGGCTGCAACGGGTTTAGGTTTGGGGTTTTAGGGTTTAAGGTTTGGGTTTCAGGGTTTAGAGTTTAACTCTCCAGTGCCTCCGCGAAAAAAATCATAGATCCTGAGAGGTTTCCAGACATAGGAAGCCAACCTAACCCCAGCACTCGAATACTTCAGCCGGAGGAAGTGTGGTCGGCAAGGGTACCTATCCTCAAGCTGCAGTGGGATGCGCATCTGGATGTGGAAGCTCAGACAGCAAAGGGCTGGAGGTTAGGACCTAATATGGTTCCATTGTTGTTCCAGGGCCCGATGGCTAGGGATGTACGATTCAGCGTCCCGGTTTCTGTTTTTTGCTACTTGATGCAAGAGGAACTGATGGACCTGATCCTTGTTGTTTTGCCAGGTTGCTGCCTTAGGCCTTTCAGTTGCCCAGAAAGCCGCCGTGACGCGGAACTCCTAACCCAGAACTGTTCATGTCTTGTCTGCTGGTCTGGCGCCAGTAGTGGTCGTTGTTAGTAGGTTACCACCTCCGTTCAGCGAACACTCAACTGTCAAGTTGCAAAGCCACTACTGACTACTGCTCTCGCAGCTCACATAAACTACTGGCTGCTTTGCGACCGGAGAGTCGTACAAGTACTAGCAACCTGTCCATGTCTGGCGTCGCTTCGCTTGCGACGGATCTATTGTTGCTGTCTCCTTTTAGCTTTTAGCTGCCACGTGGCCCTAAACCCTAAAAGCCCTGCGTTCGTTTATTTGTCTCTCGCAGTTTGGTCTAGCCACTAGGATCGTAGACTGTGGCCTGCTTCATGGTGACTCCAGCTTTGAGGGTTCAGGGTCTAAGGGGCTTAAGGTTTCAAAAAAGGCCACACACCCACCTTAAACCCTTTAAGCCCTCCAGCCCTAAGCCCTTCGCCATCAGGACCTCTCCTGTGGGAAGCTCAGGGGCCCAGCTG